TGCTAAAATGTCATTTCCCCTTACAAAATTTACACTATTTTTTTTATTTCAGTAAAACTACTTATCCTTAATGGCCACATGTGCATATTAATTTATTCAGCCCCTCTTGGGGGTGCAAATGCCCGTTTTCTGGGGAAAGGAGCAATGAGTTTGGGACAATAGATTTGATCACAGGATAGGGCCCAACTGTACAGATCTTCCCGCTCTGTAAATGCAGCCTCCTTCACTTTGCCAACTCTCGGCTGTTTTGCTCCTTGTTAGGCATCATTTAAGGCATCCGTCACCTGTGTATCTATATATGAAAAATAAAATTCTGAGAAATTTTAAAAAATATTCACGTTACCGCCATCCTCTTTTCCTTTCACCACTGTTATGGCATTTATTTCAGTACCGCAGATGACCTCTAGAATGAAATATTTGCCCTATCCTAGCAAAGTGTTGTTTCCCTCCCTCCTCGTGCCCTACTAATAACAAGTGACTCTAAATCACTACTGAAATAATGATATAAATCAAATTCAAATAGAGCCCCCAGGTAGTCTCACCACCGAGGGCCTGCTTTTTATGTTTGGATGAGTAAAAGATAGGGGGTCGACACCATAAATGAGGAGGAAGTGAGTGCGGGGGAGGAATTATGGAAGGTTTTTTATTACTATTTGTATCCCCAGAGCACCTAAAAACCCCAGACATGGTACAAGGTGCTGTACAAACACAGAAGGGACCCCAAAGAGCTGAGGCTGGTGGGAAAGGCCAGACACTTTGTTATCCCTTGGACAGTTTGCTTGGTTGTTGATACTTCTCTCACTTTGCAAAGTGGAATCTGTTCCCCCATGAAAGGAGGGGTGGGTCATCTCTTGAAAGGACAATGCAGCAGACCTGATGGGACAACAGGCCTGCAAATGAAATTAACCCACCTCACAGACTACACAGGGCCCGATCCTGCCTGCACTGGGGGGGGGGGGACACAACCAGCCACATGGCTTTAATGGAAGCTGGATGGGACCCTGAAAATCTCCCTGTGCCTAAAATCTTATCCCTCCTGCACTGAGGGGAACCCCCTCTGATCTCCCAGGGAGGGGACAATTTGGGGGGAACAGGAATACAGGCTTAAGACCCTCCCCCCGTGTCAAACGCCAGTTTATACACTTCTTCTCTTCAGGAAAAATGTACTTCCGTCTTCTTCATTTGGGTTCCAATTCCGTGGTGTGCCAGAGCTGGGATAAGACAGAAAAGAATCCGGTTCCAGGATAAATGGGGTTTTACGCTATCAGACAAGGTGGGAAGAGTGGGGGGGGGAATCTTTTAGTCCCTAGTTTAGACGGCGTGTAGGCAGCGGGACTGGGTTACTAGAGTGGGTCCTGTGTGTGGGCAGAAATCTCGTGTATAAACAGCGCGTGTGTGTCCACACGGCCTGTTCCAGAGGCGATCGCACCGGTCCGAGATTGCAGGGTTTGCTTTTGTGATGGATCGGCTCCGTTTCTGTGCGTTTCCTACGAACCCCACCGAGTTTCTGCCCCTCAGAGGTGCAGGTGTGTGTGTGGGGGGGGGGGGAATCTCTGCTTCAAACTCGGGGCGGAGGGGGAAGAACATTTGGAAAGGATGAAAACTTGTATTTTAAAACCTTGCTCAAAAAAGCGAAGGGCTCAAAGTGCCTTGCAAACGGGGGTCCCGTCACAAAACAAAACATATTTGCTTGTGTTTAATGGTAACAAGGGGCGCGGTTTTCCACCGATTTAATTGGGGTGGGGGGCAGAGAAATCCACACGGATGCCTGGTGGCAAGACGGGCACCTCAGGATTGAATTTGCATGTTATTAGCCTGGAGAGAGGTGTATTTATGTAATTAAACTCCACATTTAAGATACCGCGGACGTTTCACTTCCGGAATGCCAAGAGGGAAGGGATCAAACAAAACGGGGGGGGGGGGGTGTCAAGCAATAATAACACGGCGCAGCCCAATTAATCAAATTAGGCAAAAGAATCCACAAAGCCGGCGAGGTGCACTGAATGCCGCAGGAGAATGCTTAGCGAGGCAGCTTGGAAGCAATCCAGCTCGGGTGAATTCGGATCAGCCCCGTTTAGACACAGGAGAGAGAGAGAAAAAGAGGAACGCGTGCTGCTGTCTAGACCTCGATCCAGCTCTTGGGTGTCTGTTATGGCTAGCGGCTTGTTCATTACAGGTGACCCAGGACCCAGTCCTGCAATCGATGACCTATGGGAGATTCCTCTGACTTAGAAGATACAGGTAAACCCTGCCATGAACCAAGATGAAATGAGGATCCGATCCTAGCAGGGCTTCAGAGGTGCTGTTTTTATTTTCTTCTCGCCCCATAGATTTTAAAAGAGGAAGTATTTGTAGCTCAATGATCTGGCTCCCTGGGCCACATCCCCTTCCTCCTAAAGGCTGAAGCCCCCCTGACAGGACATTGCACTGCCCAGGAAGGAAATCCTGCACATGGCTTGGTCTGGGGGTAAGGACCCCCCTGGAGGATTATAATGAACGCCCGGCTACCGATGGGGAAGCGGTCGGGTTCCAAGGGCTCCAATTCCCATCTCCATCCTTGGATGTTTATCAAAGAGCTTGCCTGCCCCATGCAATGCAGGGATGCCGGTAGAGCCGCCTGAAGGAATTAATGTTCTGTATACGGCCTATCACAACGGGGTCCTGATCCTGGACTTGGACTCCGAGCCGCGAGCGCCATGCCAATAATCAAGAAGAACAATGTAATACAGCAATTAACAGGCCTCTGGTAAGTCCCACCCAAGGGCCTTATACCAAAAGGTGCAAAGGCTCCACTTTTCTCTGATCGGTTTTGGAGACAATTTGCTGGAACCTGTTTTTGTTACAATTGAAAGTGGATGGTCAGATCCCCCTCGCCCCATGAAACCTACCAACTGAGCATCCCCAAAGCCTTCCTCTGGGAGTGATGGGCTCTTGCTGCCATGGATGGGTTAAGAGGATGCCGAATCTCTCTGAAACTCTTGCGCTTCAAACCAGCTTCAGCAGGGCCTGGAGTCGTAAGGTGCGGGTTTACCTGGGCCATGTAACAGTGGTAGGGGTTCCCGCTGTCTGCCATACAAATCCCCTCATTAAACACCAGCTCAGGGGAGCTAGACATGTTACGAGCGGGGAATAATGTTTGCATCGGCCCCCGTTCCTACTTGCAAGACTGAGGATGCACCAGGAGAAAGAAAAACGAACCCTGCACCACAGCCCGAGAGGGGAGGAGGGTTAATGGGGGGTGGGGGGGTGTTCTTTTGAAGGAAACTTCTTCCAGAAATAAAAGCTTGAAAGAAAAACAAAGGCTTTTGGAAGAAACAGCTTGGAAGCTCCAAGATTAACCCCCCTGATTCGCAATCCGTGTTCATTTCAGCGACGGATGGGGCAACATCCGCTGCCAGTTTCGCTGGTACTTTTTGGCTCTAAAGAGAGTGGGAACGGGTCCCACTTTGCAGAGGTCAGCAAACACCCTTTCCGCCGGCCTGAGTGCCCGCTAGAGCCCGGGCCCGATCCCTCATTGCTCTGCAGCGCGCCTGGGCGGTCACACCTGCGCGCAGAGAGCGCCGAGCGCGGGGTGGTTTCCAGCAGGAGTGACGCCTGATTCTCAGAGCGGGTGTTCTCAGACGATGGCTAGCCAACAGTGTACCCTCCTTTCCTTGTCTCCCCCCCCCGTCAGTATTCATCTCTTGTCTTTGTACTTAGAGGGTGAGCTCTGTGAAACCGGGACTGACTTTTTGCTCTGTTTGTACATCTCCGAGCATCATGGGTCCTGCTCCTTGATGGGGGCTCCTCAGTGCTATAATTAAAAACAGATTTAAAATGTTTTATGAAAGCTAATGTTAAAATTATCTACTGCACAGGTTAAGGAAAAAGTGTCTATACCTCTAGGTATAAAGCTTAAATTACCCACAAGTACTAAAGTTTGGTTTAAAAGTCATAAAATACATATAGGACATAATCGGCAATATGCCAAGTTTGGGTTGATAAATGTAAGAATAGAGCGTAGCTCTTAGCACCCAAATATTCGGGTCCATCACTCCTAGGAGGTTAGACTCAGAGTAGCTTGTGGAAAACAAATATCGCAAGGAGTGTGGCTTGTCCCTCAGTAATGGAGAATTGAGGGTGGACTGACTGGCCCTTTACACCTCTCTGGCTGCGTCAAAGGTCCTTAAACTGGTCAGTGGAATTCACACCCCTCCTGTCAGTGGAAGACTGTGTCAGACTCCTCCAGGAAAATCCCCTTTCAAATCTCCTCTCAGCTCCGGCCGCTTTTCCTGTCAGAATTGGTTGGACAGCTCTGATGAACTGATCCACGCCAGTGCTGGTTTAATAAGGGCCCCAGCCTCCTTCTTCTGCCTGTTTTGGGTGGAGGCGGTGCTGGGGGGAGGGTGTGCTATTCCCCCTCCCCCTTTTGATTTGCTGTTTTGTTTTTAATTGGAGCTGGCTGACATTTTTTTCAACTTTCAATGAAATTTGGGGTGGGTGGGGTGGGAAAAGTAAAATATTTGGACTTTTAAAACCTCTTAAAATAAAACCAACTCAGATAAACAAATTTCTTACTCTGCCAATGAGCTCAGGGGGCTGAGTCTGCCCTCACTTGCCCCCGGAGCAAAATCCATTCAAGCCCGTGGGGGAGGGACCCGGGTGGAAAGCCAGCGTGAGCTCCTGTCGACAAACATTTATGCTAAACTTCTCCCCCCCCCAAAAAAATAGCCCAGACCTGTTGCTCCGGTGCCTCCCCTCCCCCCCGTCCCACGGCCTGGCTTGCAGGAAGGCAGCTGCCATTAGCCGGCCTGCTTGTTAATTACCGTGATGAGGGGCTGCCCTCAGGGCTCCGTGACGTCACTGGCCGCCTGGGCCAATCGGGGAGGCCCGGGGCGGGGCGGGGAGGGCGCAGGGGGAACCCCCGGGGCGAGCTCTGAGCAGGAGGTTGCGCTGCGGAGCCTGGATGTAGCCGGCGGGGGGGGTCTGCGCGGAGAGCTCCCTGCAGCCCGGGCCGGGGCGGGAGAGGGGCGAAGCGCAGCGGGAGCAGCGGGGCTGTGCCCTGCCCCAGCCATGGCTCGCCCCAGCAGCCGCCGCCGCCGCCCGTCCGGTTGCTAGCCCCGTGCCGGTCGGGTTGCGCGCCCGGGCCTGGGCTCCGCGATGACTATGAGCTCCCTGGCCGAGAGCCTGCTGGGGCCGGACCCCTCCAAATCCGCGTTCCTGGAGTTCGGGCACGGCCACCCGCCCTCGCCCCAGCCGCCGCCCTCCCCCAGCCTGGCCCACGGCCACTACCCCCTCCACGGCTTGCACGAGGGGGGCCCCTTTGCACCCTACGGACGGTCCGTGGCTTACCCGTACCCCGGCTCGGCTGGCGGCACCCACCACCCGCACCATCTCCACGGCAGCCCGTACCTGTCCTACCAGCAGCCGGCCAGCGCCCTGGGGCACCGGGGCAGACTAGAGGAGACAGGTAAGGGGGTGTGGGTCTGTGCCTGTGTGTTGGGCATACTCTATTCCAGCCCAGTCCCTCTGGGGGGGGGTCCTGCTAGCCTCCAGCGCCGGTCCACTCGTGTAGCCCCCTCTCTGTGCCCTCTAGCCCCTTGCAAGTGCCCTTCCGCTGTCCACCCCCCGGGCCCCGGTTCTCTCTGGCTCAGTCTATAATCCAGCCCTTTGCAGGAAGAGTTCTTTCCCCCCGCTGCTACAAACAGAAAGTATCTGGCAGTTCCTCCGACCCAAGCATCAGACCGAGAGGCGAATCTCTGCTCAGAGTTTGGAGTTGAAAGTAGCCTTCTCCTGGCGCAGGAGACTTCTGACCCCCCGCTTGGCTTGTCTCAGAGCACCTAGTTTAGCCCTCTCTTTAGCTAGGGGTTTAGGCTAGACCTGCTACAGCTTCCTTTTGCGAGTTTTCCAAAGCTCCCCCCTCCATAAGGGAACAAAATAATAATTTTGACAAAACCGAGATGCTTACCTCCCCCCCCCACAAACAAACAAAAGAATTACAAGCTCAATGGAAATCCTTTTATAGGAAAACTGTCTTAAGTTCTCTCCCCGTTTATGAAAAACATTATGTTTCTGTTAACTTGGTACGCTCGCAATGCAAACACGAATTTTTAGGACAACTGTATTTTCCCCCACTTAAAAACGTCTCTCGCCAGCAAAGGAACTGTGCGTTGGATTGCAGGGGCCTGGGCATCTCTCCTGAGACTCTGGGTTGACGAGGGCTGTGGGTTTTTTTGTTTTGTTTTTGTTTACTTTGGGACATTTTCTTTAAAAAATACGCACTGGCTAAAATATCCCGAAAACCTCTCTTCGCTGTTAGATTGGAAACATATGCCCCTTTACCAGAAAACGTCTCCTATTTGTTTCTGCATTTTATTCTAGATCTGCCATGGAAGCGATTTTCTGAAAAATAATATCCCTCCCTTTTAGCAAGGAAGAAAACCCGTCTCCGTTTTCCTATGCTCCAGGGGTAAAATTCTGGCCCCATGGAAGCCAGTGGATGTCATTGAGTTTAATGGGCCTGGGATTTCCCTCCAGAATTTTGCGCACACCCAGAATGACCTGTCAGTTACCCTGGTGTATCTGTCAGATTTATCTGCAATGGCCCAGAATTGGAGGCTGACGTACAGAAGGAAGAAGAATGCAATTGTTTATTTTGTAACAATTAGACTGTATGGCACCTTGTTAATATCTTTCATCGCCTGGCTGCAGAGGCGAGGCCTGCATCCGCCATAAAATACACTTAGCAATGTTTAATTTTAATACAACACGGGCTGGATGTTTGGGAAAGGCATACACAACCAATCCTTTCCATTTCGTGTATTTATATTATTTAATGCCAATATCCTTTAATTGGCACCTGTCAAGATTCCAGGGGCGATACAAACCGGGTTCATGGCAGATCAGCCGCATTAGGAAACTTGCCGTAAAGAAGCCGCTTAAACAGTCCATTGTTCTTTGGGCACATCGCTTTCTAAAACGAATATGTTTACACCGCCCGTTTGGAGCTATTTCGTGCGGGCAGCGAAGTTCTTGGAACGCTCAGGGGGGAAGTCGTTTTAAAAACGAATTACATATGTATTACGTGAGGGTAAAATGCCAAAATATTTAATCACGGGGCATAGGCTAGAAGCAAAGGACTGCATAGAGATGCCACAGAGAGCAAAGAGCTGGCAGTGATATAGTCCTCATTTAAAAAAGAAAAGTCCTAGTTGTAAAAATAAAACAAAAGATTTTGGAGTGACTATCGGAACGGATTCTTTGGTAACGGAAACAATGTGGGCAGTTGCCTTAGCGATTTTTCCTGGGCTTTTAAGAGCCCCTGTAACAAAAAGTTAGTCATTAAAGTGATCCGTGCACCAGGGGAGAACCTTCTCAAATGGAAGTGCATTTCGCTAAACCTAGGCAAGGCCCCGTCCTGCCCCTGCGTTCATCCAGGTTTAACTGCCCAATGTTCCTTCGCAGCAGGATACGGTCCTAAGTGTCTGCAGACCGTAGAGATCGAGGAGGCCAAATTCTGCTCCTCCCTTCCTGGAGTGACTCCGGATTTACACCAATTTCACTGAGAGCAGAATTTGGGCCGTCGTGTAACAGATTAACACATTCCGAACTGAGCCTGTTAGTCACTGCTGAGACCGTACTGCCAACCAGAACAGCAGAGAATCTCCCTGCGGGACAGAAACCCTTCCGGAGGGTTTTAATTATTAATTGGGTTAATTATTAATTAGTAGTAGTATTTTCCCCGGGTTGGGTTAAAATTCAAGCTCTCTTCTCGTGAAGCGTTCAAATCTAGAACTGAAGTGACTCTCTCTAACCCTTTCTACTTTCTTCGAAAGCTCCCAGGAACAAATGAAGGACTGAGGGCGGCGGACCGCGGAAACAAATTTAGATGAATCAGTTGCCAATAAATTTCGGGGAGCCGGAGAGAAGCTAACTTTGAATCACGAAAACTTCTCCCGGCCGCTTTGGAACTGTGGCAGGGGGTTGGCGGCTTGTGTAACCCTGGCTAATGAGATATGTCCTTATTTATTTCAGTATTCCCTTTGCAAAGAAGAGAACCCGCATTTATTTGCCAGTGTTATACCAAGTCTCAGGGGGTAGCCGTGTTTGTCTGTAGCCACAAAAACAAGGAGGAGTCTGGGGGCACCTTAAAGACTAACCGATTTATTTGGGCATATGCTTCGGTGGGTAAAACCCCCCACTTCTTCAGATGCATGCTATTTCTGATTGCACCTAACAAGGGAAATCCCAGGCTCCATTCAAATTCTGCCTCTATTTGGACTCAAATTTCCTCCGCAGCTCATGGGTTTCCATTTGAGTTCCTTTTAAATGTTCTGCTCACTTCCCAGAATACTAATTCGATACGCAGAACAAGTCACGGGTCGTTAATATATTAGGAACGTGTGTGTATCTATACACCCGCCCAGTTAATTTATTGCCGTCCAGATTTAAGGAGGAATTATGAAACTGACATCTATTAAAAATTATTGAATCTTTTCACAGGTTAGGCTTCATCTCGTGGGGAAACAAGAATCTTTCATTTTAAATTCAGATCCATTGGTCCAAAGAGAGAGAGAACACAAATCGATTGGCGAAACATTTTCTGATGCTAAATTATTCTAGTGCAAATCCGGATTCACTCCACTGCCGCCTGGGTGAATTCACCTGAATTACTCCGGGTTTAAATCAATGTCATTTAGACCAGCATCTGGCCCTTTCACAATAGCACGATTTTCAAGCTTTTGATTTCTACCCTGCAAGCGAGTTGTTCACTGAAAGAAAGAAACAAACTAGTAAACGAAATATCCATGCAACTCATTGGCAAATCGGCTTTAAAATGAATTCGACAGGACGTTAACAAAACCACCGGAGAAAGGGAAAATGGGCTAACAGGAATTGTGCAATGGGCTAACAGGAATTTGCTAATTAGCGTTGAGATTTTATATATGAGATTTTACGGCAAGTTCTTTTGTTTTGAAATTAAATGATTCCTTGAGGGTTTTTTTAAAAATTATACTTTACTCTTCTGTTGACTCAATGCGCCCTCACGCTTTCCATTTGCACGTACAAATCTCATAACGATCTTGTCGATTGAAAAAGAAAATTGCCATCAAAATTAATTACAGTGTGGAGCAGCGTTTCGAAGCTGGCTGGAGAATGAGAAGTGAATAAGTAGCTCATTATTTTATAACAAATTTATACCCTGCTTTGATGTTACCCACATAAACTTAACAGAGCAAAGTGCCCTGCCCTGAATTCTTTCTATTCAAACTTCCCAGTGGCTTGAATTTTGCGTGTATAAAGACCGTCTCTACAGTTTGCAAGTTATATAATCTAACATAAACTAATCTAAGTTATATAATCTAACAATGCAGCGCTGTTAAAAGACCGAAGTGACGTTGGCAGGGGTGTCTCCAGAACTTGATTATAAAGTATAAACGGCCTGAGAGATGAAGCCGAATTAACAAAAGGAAGCAACAAACACATAGACCAAGATCCATGGGGACCAGTTCTGGGGCAGCTCTTTAGCTGATGGGAACTGTCAGCCCTCATTAGGGAGTTATTACAATGCAGGGTAGCTGAGTTAATAAAGTTAAGCAGGGGCTTAAAACTTTGCAGGAGAGGGGCTTCACTTTCGAAGAGTCTAAACCGGGAAGGAACCCCAGACGACGCGCTATATGGCTTTGGGATATTCTCCGCCACCTGCTCAAGGGGGAATGGCCGGAGCAGCGGGGGGTGGTGAGGGGGGGGCGACAGACACCTAAAAATGAAAAGCGCAGAGCGGGTACGTGCGACACCAGCAGAATTCATAATCAGCAAACTCGGATAGGGAGACGCCTCTACTTTGTGCAGAACTAATAAATGTCTCCTCATTACTGCTAATTAAGGGACTGTCACGTGGCGGAGGGTCTGCTCCGTTGCAGGGAAGAAAGAGGTTTCTGAATAGGATATATGGCTAAGTGGCTTAGATTTACCCTATAATACTTGATATAATATGCCACTTATTTACAGGATCTATTTTATAGCTGTTGTGGGGGGGGGGGGGGGAGGAGTGGGCGGAGGGGGGGAGGTCACGGTCCTGTCCGTTTTCCCCCCCTGTTTCCCTGCCCTGTCCGATCGATTGGGATTTTTAAAATACACATTGTTGGGAGAATTTAAGCAGTATTTTACACACACAACCCCCCGGACCCCCCGAGACAAGCCTTTGATTGAAGGATCTTCCTGTAGAATTGGGGGCAGCCTGCGGACGGGCTGCACCAAGCCCCAGCCAGCCCACCACCTTCTCCGGGGGAAGGGTCGGCTGTGAGACCGTTCAGGAGCATTACTTGGGACTGATACAATAAGGCTGACACCTCGATGCGCCCCCAAGCTTAAACTTCCCGGAGCTGTAAATCAAAAAAGACCAACAAGAAGACACAGCGCTTCCTTTGCTCCCCTTAGGCCCGATTGAGTTGTCAATCCGGAATAAGGGGCGATTCTGAGCGGTGGAGCGGATTTGGCCTTGTTCTCCGATAGGTGACCAATAGACCACGGGGCTCCGAGGGCTTCCCCCGAGCCAGATCATGCTGTCAATTACTCCCCTCCAACTGCAGAATTTATACAAATTTTTGCCCCCCCCCCCCGCTTCCTTCTTCCCAGGCCTAGGAAAAATCACACACACAGAAAGAGACGAAACCTCTTTTCGTTGTTTTAAGGTCATTTTTCAGCGTTTATAAGGGTGATTAGGGGACCCGATCCTGGGCCAAGAGCGTCTTTTGGCGTCAACGAAGTGTGTGGGAACCAACCTCTGGCATTTAAACAGCGTCCCACGCCATATGGGGGTGGCTCAGCCCCGGGATGCTTCCCTCCCTTTGTTCTTCCCTGTGGATTCGGGGGGGGGTGTTGGATCTCCGGGATCCGCTTATCACCCCTTTCTGGCCTCTCTGCGCCAGGCTCCCCTCCCCCCACTCCGGAGGCTGCCAGTCGCTCTCGCTTTATCGAGGCTTTTCATCCACCCGTCATTTAATTTATTTATTTTTTTTTTTTCCAGAGCACGAGAAAACCACCGTGATCGAGAACGGCGAGATCCGCATCAACGGCAAAGGGAAGAAAATCCGCAAGCCCCGCACCATCTACTCCAGCCTGCAGCTCCAGGCTCTCAACCAGCGCTTCCAGCAGACCCAGTATCTGGCCCTCCCTGAAAGAGCGGAACTGGCAGCGCAGCTGGGACTGACCCAGACGCAGGTACCGGCTGGGGAGAGCCAGAGGGAATGGGCTGAGATCCAATCCAACCCCTACTGAGCCCTTGGCAACAGCTGGACTTTAGCCACGGGGCCAGATTCTGCTCTACACTGGAGCGAATCCGGATTGACTCTGAATTTGCGGGGGTGTGACTGGAAGCAGGGTCTGGTCCTGTCTCTCTAACGTACAACAAAATAGTAGGCAGAGTTGCGTTTGGTTTCATTAAGTCACATCTTGCTCTCAGTTACAGCCATGAAAGTTCAGAGCTAATTCGGATTTAACCCTGTGTAGAGCAGAATCTGGCTCCATCTCTCTAGTGTGTAAGAAATAACAATGCATGCAGTTCCTTCCGTTTGCTTTCATTGGGCCACTTCCAGCCTCTGTTCCATCCCTGTACATCAACAGTTAATTCGGATTCATACTTGTTTAGACCAGAATCCCGCCCTGCCTTCTCTCACACATCGCCACATCTTTGTAAATAGATCATTCCAAATTCTGCTCAGAAGTAAATCTGGATTGACTCTGCAGTTGTAGGGGTGTAACCGAGAGAAGGATTTGGCTCGAGGAAAACCCTAGGAGCCCTGCGATTCAGAGAACAAGGCCAAATCACCGGATGGATGGAGCTCAGTTCTGTCCCGCTCTCCCTCTGGCTTCCCTGGGGTAACTCTGGGCTGGATTTGGTTCTGCACCGTCTCTCTCTCTCTCTCTCTCTGTGTGAGAGATGATTTGTCCTTAATTCCGGCGCCTTCGCCTCGGCCCCCTTCTGCCGCATGTGGTTCCCATTCGCCCTCTTTCTCTGTCTTCAAAGCCCTGTGGAATTGCTCCCGAGCTGAGAGGCATTTCCTTTAATTGTTCTGTTATTTCTCAGCGAGGATGGGGATGTTTGTCTATCTGAGGTTGACAAACTCTTCTGCAGGGTGGGCGGGGGGGGATACTGCCTGCCAGGGAGAAACAGCCCCCCTTTGAGCGGCTGCTCAGCTCTGTCCCCAAGGAAACCCGGAGCTCGGCTGGTTTCGTTTCAATTTCATTTACGTGCAGAAGAAACAAATCAGACAACCGTGAAGCCTCGCTCGGGAAGCCCAGTGGTCCCCGGCACACGTAAACAAAAACAAAGACCAGAAACTAGCCCCAACAATGAGATTGGACCGAATGCTGGCTCTCAGCCGTGTGAATTCGGACTCGCTCCTTTGCAGCGGAGTGACTCCGGATTTACAGAATTTGAGAGCAAACTCTTGGCCGCCTGGCTTAAAAATAGTGTAGAGGAAACCCCGGAGAAATGAGCAAGCAGGGGCTTGGGGGAGGCAATCGGCTGATTGAGTAAATCCTGTCCCCATCTTGGGGCCCGAGCCTCAGCTGGGCCGTGGCTCCGCACAGCTGGATGGGAACGCGGGGCAGGAGCAAAGAGAGACGGGTGAACGGCTTTGAAGAGAGAGATGCAGACAGGCAGGCGCGAGGGATCAGTCCACAGCCACGGGCAACGAGATTTAATAATCATCATCACCATAAAAAAACAAAGGAGGCAAGTGAGGACCTGCAAAGCAGCGCCCTGTCAAAAGAGCCAGTCAGCTGCGCGCTGCGCGGCGTTACGAAATGGGGCTGACCCCCCCCCCCCAGAACCGCAGCGCGGTTCCCCCCAGCCCAGCCTCCTTTGCGCTCCCTCTCTCCTCTGCCATCCACCCCGGTGTCTGCCCTAGGCGCAGTCCTCTCACAGTCAAAGCAGAAGCCCCCCCCCACAGGGGGATCCTGTAGTCCCCCCCCCCCCCGGGAGTTTTGCCATTGTCTTCAGTGGCGCCCGGATATTTTAAGGCACTTTCCCAAGCATCGCCCCGGACACAGGCTCGGGCTCCAGGAGCGGACCAGCCCGAGGCGCTGCGCAGAAACGCCGCCTAAGATGCGCCTCTCGCGTAGTCACCTGTTCCTGAGGATGGGCCCGATCCGGCTCCTATTTCACTCCGAAGCCAGCACTCCCACCCCCCTGTGGGCTTCCACGCCAGCTGGAGCGGAGCCAGGGTGCGTTAGTTTCCCCCAAGTCGGGCGGGCCTTATGGCTGGCGGCCCGCCCGGGGGCACCCCGAGGGAGGCCGGTCGGTAGCCGGGGTAGTCGGCACCGATTCACGGAGAAAGGACCTGAGCTCGGGAAGCCCCGTCCGCGGCAGACTCCACGCCCAGCTGCTGCTTTGTACGCCAGAAATCTCACAGCCGGGGCGCTCCACGGGGCCCCCCCCTACCCTTCGCAATTAGCCCCCCCCGCACTGAATCAGCTACTACAGCCCCCCCCCCCCCCGCACCCCGTCATTTCTCTCTAGCTCCTGGGAATCTGCGCTTTACAATAAACCAGCAAACTCCCTGGTGCGCGCTGGCCCCCTCCGTTTGGAAGCAGAAATCAATTAAAAATCTTTCCTCTCCAGACCAGAGTCTGCTCCCCGGCCCCCACTGAAGTGGCCCCCACGGGGCCCAGCTGAGAGCGGACGCTTGAGACTTTGGGGCGCGCGTTCCACCTGAACCCAAGGGTGCCGAGGCGTTGGCGGGAGGTGGAAGGGGCTGGGGGGGCTGGGGGGGTCAGTCAGCACAGTGCATTCAGCGGCAGGCCTGCGAGCGGAGGCAGGTCGGGAAACCGGCTGCCAACTCATCTCCCCACCCCGCCCCTGGGCCCCAGCTCAGGCGATTCAGGGCTTTGGGGCTGGTTTGTAAGACCAGACCGGGAAAGAGCTGCGGGGGGGGGGGGGGGGGGATTTATTTTGCCTTGCAACCTATGTATATTCTCTCTCCTATTTCGGGGGTGGGGAGTGACAAGCCGGAGAGATAGTGGCAGGGAATCCACACGCACTCCAGGACCCCCCCCCCCCCATTCTAGCTGCTAATTGAGTATACAGCACCCCCCCCCCACACACACACACACCTTTGTAGTTCGCAAAAAGAAAAGGAGGACTTGTGGCACCTTAGAGACGAACCAATTTATTTGAGCATGAGCTTTCGTGAGCTACAGCCCACTTCATCGGATGCATCTTTGTAGTTAGGTGACTCTTTCCTCTCCTTGTCCTAGGTCAAGATCTGGTTTCAGAACAAACGCTCCAAGTACAAGAAGATCATGAAGCAGGGCTCCAGCGTTCAGGAAGGGGAGCACCTCCACAACTCTGCATCCTTGTCCCCCTGCTCACCCAACATACCCCCTCTCTGGGACGTTTCCATGGCTGGCAAAGGAGCCCCGATCCCTCCTAGCAGCTACATCAACAGTTTTGGACCTTGGTATCAGCCACACCAGCAAGATGCCATGCCAAGACCACATATGATGTGACACTGGGCTCTGCCTTGATCCCTCCTCCCCACCCACCCCCAGAAAAAGAAACACAAGCCCTCAGCTCTTTGAGGAACTTATGAAACCATCAAGTCTCCGGGAGTTCCGCCGGCCACATGGGAAAATTCTCCAGGCCTTCTCCTGAGAACGTGGAACCTCTGTGAGGAGTTGATGCTGACATTTGCATAGAGCAGAGGAGAGCAAAGGCAATGATGTTATCCCTGCCAGGAATAAAGAAAACCTACAAAGAAATTGTTCACAAGTCTGGGGACCTGTTCAGAGACTGGCTTTTTTTCTCCTCTGCTCCTCAGAAATGTAAAGAGGGAGGAGATGATCCTCAATGGGCGTTAACTGGTGCCAAGTCAATGGAACTCGGGCAATTTACATCATCTGACAATCTACCCCCCCCCCGAAATCCCTCCCTCTCTTGGATAAAGACTTTATCGACTATACAATATTACCCTCCTCCTTTTTTGTGCTGTAGGTAGCCCATTCTATACACATCGACAGATTTCTACTTGGAAAACTATATATATGTGTATATAAATCTCTCTATAAACTCTTCCATACTGCAAAGCAAATGCTCACTCCACATTTGAGTGTCCTGCTGTTAATATTTTTAAAGTGCTTTAATACCAGGATTGTGTTTACAGACAGTGACTCAGAAGAGTTTGAGGAATGTAATTTCCCTCCAGGCCTTTTATAAAGCACCCCCCCCCCCCCCCCACTGAAAGGCAGAGAGAGAACTTGTTCGCGTTCAGTTTTATCCACCAAACAGTGGGGATTTCTTTCTGGAAGAATTTGTGATTCGATTTAACACACATTCTCCACATTCATTCGATCTCTAATCCCCTCCTGTACCCGCCCACCTGAAGCCATGGTTTCTCCCCTCCTGTCTGGCAAAGATTTATTTATAAATAACATTTTGTTATGATGTTGTTTCTCTTTATAAATAGGATGTAAAGCTGTATAGTAAATGTCTTTCCTTCCATCGGTTTTTGCCCCTCCCAACCCTCCCCCCACATTTTATAATACCCATTTCTAATGCAATTTTTTAACTCTGGTCTAAGGAGGGGGAATAGGTTTTCCCCTGGTCACTACAGGAAAACGTTGAGGAGAAATGTTTTCTTTAACAAGAATTGTTTCCATGTTTTCCCAGTAAAAAGAATCCAGTGGGGGGTAGGATAGCCCAGTGGTTTGAGCATTGGCCTGCTAAACCCAGGGTTGTGAGTTCAATGATCAAGGGGGCCATTTGGGGCAAAAATGGGGCTTGGTCCTGCTTTGAGCAGGGGGTTGGACTAGATGACCTCCTAAGGTCCCTTCCAACCCTAATATTCTATGAATACTTGCTTGGATTTTTGTTCTGATTGCTTGGGACAAGGGCCCGCTGGCTGAGGACGTTTGCGCGGGCGCTTGACTTTACTACGGGTAGTAAAATGTAGGCAGCAAGGGACCGAGATCTGCAAAGTAGAATCAGGGAGCACTGAGCTCCAGGCTGAACAAGCTCGGGGGGCGCAGAATGAGCGTTTTATTTCCCTAGGGGCCCGATCCAAAGCTCCTGGGAAGCTTTTTGAGGGACCTAGGGCAGGGCTAGAATTTCCCATGCGGACAATGCAAGCGAAGTGCATTTGTGTTTTATGCTATGAGAAAATTCCGGTTGGGGGGTTATTACTGGTTTATTATTTAGCTCTCCAGCTGTGCCGAGGAGTACAGGGCAAAGGGAAGCCTTTCTCCAAGGAGAAAAGGAGGACTTGGGGCACCTTAGAGACAAACACATTGATTTGAGCATAAGCTTTGGCGAGCTACAGCTCACTTCATCGGATGCAAGGGAAGCTTTCTCCCATGAAAGGAGTGACTCCCTCCCCCAGGCAAACAAAAGGCAACAGGATTCTAGGCCCTGATGTTGCTTCCAGGTTAGTTAATGGCCAAAAGTCCCTTTGATTTCCAGATTACAGGAGCGGGGCTTACTTTTTTAAAGTTAATCTCCTGTGAAGAGAAATGGATCCCTCCTTTCAAATATAATTGTTTAAGAAGCAACCCCCCCCCCCCCCATCGTCTCTTGCTGGCTTTCCCATACCCACCAAATGTCCGGGTTGCCAACATCACAAAAGAGCCCTGGCCAGTCAGGACCAGCCTTGCATCTTGGAGGTGACATGCTACCAGATCCCAAGTACTTTGCGCAGCTGGGGATGAGAGGAGGGTGCTGGAGACTGGGGCTTCAGGGTCCAACACCTGTAAGGCCCCATTTTCAGAGAGGCTCGTAGCCCGCCGCTGGGCACCCGCAAAAATTAGCTCAATCGTCAGGCTGGTGCGGAGGAGGAAATACCGGGACATTATTTCCGAGAGAGGAAAATAATCATCACACTTATTAATAATACTAATCATACCTACCTCTAGCGGCTTTTAAGAATTCCAGGAACAGGATCCCGCCGCATTATTAGGCGGGACCAGATTTTGCTCTGAGGTGTAAATCCGGAGTAACCCCCCGTCCAGTGGCTCCGGATTGACCGCGGCGGCACTCGGAGCAGCTGCGGGCCCTGGGCGCCCTTTCAAGGCGCAGGATCGAGCCTTCCGCTGGGGCGGGGAGTGGGGGGGGGTATCTCCGCTCCGAGGGTCCTGCTGTGGAAAGGGGAGTGGCGGCGGCTGAAGCTGTGGGTGCGACCCCGCATCCAGTTGGAGGGAATCTCCCAGCAGGATAAGTGGGGGGAGGGGCGCGATTTTGCCAGCTGTCCTTTAAGGGGGAGGCTGGCCTAGGGCTCTGCTCCCTTCACCATTCAAGGGTCGGTGTAAACACCTCCAAATTATCGCTGGGGTGTAATTAGCGCCCATTAAATCTCGCCCAGGTCATTAGATCCCCCCCCCCCCCCCGCCACCCCGCTTTGTTATAGTCTCTGGGAATAAAAAGAACCTTTATCCCCCAGGCTCGGTTTCGATTTCTCTTTCATTCCTCTTGGCCTCCGCAATTTCCGAGCGAGGCCACATTAACAAGGGCTCCAAGTATTTCTATGAACGAAGGAGAATCTTTGACTCGAGCAGCTCAGACACACACAAAGACACTATCGATTTCATATGTATCTTGAAGGCATGATCTGCACGAGATAGACGGATAGATGGGGTGTATGGACGGATAATGGGGTGTATGGAGATGGACGGATAGATGGGGTGTATGGACGGATAATGGGGTGTATGGAGATGGACGGATAGATGGGGTGTATGGACGGATAGATGGGGTGTATGGAGATGGACGGATAGATGGGGTGTATGGACGGATAATGGGGTGTATGGAGATAGACGGATAGATGGGGTGTATGGACGGATAGATGGGGTGTATGGAGATGGACGGATAGATGGGGTGTATGGACGGATAGATGGGGTGTATGGAGATGGACGGATAGATGGGGTGTATGGACGGATAATGGGGTGTATGGACGGATAGATGGGGTGTATGGAGATGACGGATAGATGGGGTGAATGGACGGATAATGGGGTGAATGGAGATAGACGGATAGATGGGGTGTATGGAGACAGGTAGATGTAAAAATCCTGCCTTTACGACGCAGATCGATGCCCGGGGAGGCTGAGCTTTGGGTACCCCTCTTTTTAGCGTCCCACGCTCATGCAATCCTTCCTTGTTTTAAACTAACCCGGATCACGAAGTGGTGTCAGCCCCCGGCATTGCACAGCAGTGGGAGACAAGCCGAGAAACAAAACCGCAGGCTACAAATGCGGATGTCTTTACCTGTGCGGCTGAGAACTTCCTAGGTAAAAGGAGAAGCCGGTAAAAGGCCGGGGCCCCGATTCGCATTGGTTCTGCACCCTGCGGGGTCGTGTGTACAGGTTAAGGCCAGAGGAGATCCTTTAATCTGGCCTCCTGTACGTCTGCACCAGCTCAAAACGGATGTAAAATGCGACCCACACCCATTTGGTAGCTTTTAAACCACGCTGCACGGATGTGCATAAGTGCCCAAGGTAATGGCCCCTGTATAACCGTTCACCATTATGGATTATTATTACCATCGCGACTACGAGCCCGGGTGGTGGACCAGGGCCCCATGGTGCTCGGTGCTGTATCAACCAACACAGCTTTTCGTTCCTCACAGCGCGAACAGACGGGTAAATTTCACGTGACTCGAGGGTCACTTTCTGGTCAGTTTCACATTGTTGTTCCCAGGCCAGCTTCGGGATGCAGACAGAGGAGGTGCGAGTTGGTTTTAACGCTGATGTCACTGGCCTTTTCAAGGGGCGTATTTCATTGATTCTAAAGTTTGCAAAAATGCCTGACCCTCCCCCCCCCCCGCCTCCCACTACATTTGGGGGCCAGGTCTACTTAGAAGAGTCCCTCTTAAACCAAAGGAAGGAATTTGATTGTCAGCTGAATTCTACCTTCTGTCGATTCCCGATAGTTTAGACAACTTTCATGTCTGGATTGGTTGGGGGGGGGGGGGGTTCGCGGAGACATGCGGTTGCTGGAACTGGGTGCTGTAATGTCTGTGGGGTTCCCCTACTAGGGAGAACATATTTGAATGAATGCACTGAATGCATCGGATGAAGTGGGCTGTAGCTCACGAAAGCTCATGCTCAAATAAATTGGTTAGTCTCTAAGGTGCCACAAGTCCTCCTGTTCTTTTTGCGGATACAGACTAACACGGCTGTTACTCTGAAACCTGTCATATCTGAAAGGGAGTGTTGGCAAAAACAGGGGTGGGAGGAAAGAATCTGACAGACACTCCAAACCCTGGACGTGACGGATGGGGGGGGGGCGATGAAACACTGTCCTAGTCACAGCAGTCCTTCTCCCCAGGTACGACCCCAGTGGCACGGATTTATTTGTTCGTGTTGCTGGGAAAGCCGCACAAAGACCCTGGAAGCCTCCGGTCTCTGGTTCGTCCTAATATCTGCCTGCAAATGATCAGGCAAAAATATAAGCGGGAATGCACGAATTGGTCGCGCTGCTAAGCGGTTAGATCAAGGATTAGCTGCGCTGGGGGGGGGGGAGGATTTCGTTGGTTCTTCCACCCCCGAAAAATAAACCCCAATAAGTTTCCTAAGCCGGCGCCCTGCGCAGCCTCCGCTACCATGAAGACGCGCAAAGGTGGAACAGTGGAAGCTGGCTTTCTCGGTTCGGGTCCCGGCCCGCTTTGCCAAGCCAGCCCCGCACCCCTGGGGCAAAGCGTGCCGAGTGACCGGAGCAATGCTCTATCCCCCAGGCCCTGCAGCGACAGGGGGAAATGCGGTCCAGCATGGAGACATATTTTATTAACAGCCAAAGATGTAGCTGGAGCACACCCCGGCGTCCTTTACCAAACGCCTTGACAAGCCCACCTGCGTGGAGTTGCCAATTAGCCCGCCTCTCGTACTTACAGGAAACCCCCCTTTTCGCACCTGTCAAAGCCTTTGCATGATAACACCATTTACTTCTTTAACCCCCCCACCCCCGCCCGCAGGGGAAGATATAGCCGTGCACATCAACAGATCAGATCGGGGCTCGGAGCGGAGATTCCTGGACATCCCAGCGCCAGTCAGGTCATTAAAAACCCAGAGCGGGGTGTGCGGTGAAGGAGCAAGTCGATTGCAACCTCTTGGTCCGGGCTGGTTTCTCTGGGGCGGCTCAGTGGGTTTGTTAGGACAAGGCGATGGGGGGGTTATGACTGGATTCAAGCGCTTAGACATCGCGTGTGTTTAAAGCGCCGGCCGCTGCCGCTGTAGAAACTTCGATCCTGGTCCCCCGGCTCCGGGGGAAAGCGGCTCCCGAAGCCACTTTCTCTCTTTCGCCTTAGGAGGGAGCGAGGACGCGAAAAACCCGTTTGGTTCGCCGCGCGTTGGTCCAGAAGCAGCGAAACCCGGCGGCCAGGAGAGGGAAACGCACCGCGGCGTAACTACAGAGCCGCCAAACCCGCGGCCGACCCGGGCCCAGCAACGCGAGCACCCAGATCTTGTTGGTGGTTTGGGGTTTTCTGGTTCAGGAGACCCGTGGGGAAGAAGGGGTCTAGACCTCCCAACCTCCCCCGTCTCCCTTAACATCTGCACAAACAAACCCCGCTGCTGTTTGAAGACAGTCGCCGGTTCCTCTGAAATGAAGGGGCAATTATGGTAATTTTGGACCGAGGCTGCTAAATTCAGGCTCCCCCCGCCCCGCCACCCCCTTTCAATTGGGGTAATTGCGAGCAATTTGCAGCCGTTGAAAATGTCTCGGTTAATAAGCGAAGAGAAGGGGGGGTGGGGGGTTAAAGAGGAGGGAGACGGAGGAGGGGAGCATGCAATTGAGGGGCAGATGCTCCCACTGGGGAATTTTGAGCAGTAGGTCGCCTGGCCATTTCGGGAAATGACTCGCAGGTGCGGGATATTCAGACCGCGGGGAAAGCCAACGGCGGGGCCCAGCGCTGGTGGACATTAAGTGAGGGAGAAATCAAAATAGAAACCCCGGGGGGCTCTGCCCTGATCACAAGGCAGGGGAGAAACGGCAGGTGAAGGGCAAAGTTTGGCAGCCCCCCAGCTCTCCCGTCCCTGCAAGGCGCCCGAAGGGGGCAGATGGTTTAAAGCGCTCAGCACCCGCTGGGATCGAATCCCAAGGCGGGGCGCGGAGGGTTTGAAACCCCGGCCCCTGGAAACGGAGGGAACTGGCTCTTTTTAAGCCGTGGTCGTTGAGAACGATTAAACTCCTAAATCGGTTCCCTTCTCCTCTGAACGGTAGCAGCTCAACAAACGGGAAGCGTTTAGAAGCTTGCTTTTTTTGTTTTGCACTGAAAACGACGCTTTAAAAATCCTGTTGGTTTTTGTCCAGATTTTGCCGTGATGTCTAATTGCTTCCCCGCTCCTCCTTCTTAGGACCTGCTCCGCATTACAGAGGCAAATCGAGCTACAAGAAGGGGTGTCTCTAAATA